CACATTCACCTTGGGACTCCCCCCCACCCCCAAACTCCTCTCCCCCATCACTGTCGTATTGAGCAGCTGGAAGAGGCAGCAGCTTCAGATTAGCATCTTAGCCTGGTTACCATCGCTATGGGAACTCCAGGCCCCGTGGCCTGAGGGGCAGGTCAGGGCTTTGCAGGGTGGGCTCCGTGCCCTCTTCCCCCTCGGTGCTCACAGCATCCTGGGAAACGTCTGCTTTGTCTCCTAGGTCCTTGCCTCTCCCAGGGCCCCGGGAGCTTTAGGCAAGCAGCGGTCTCTCAGAAAGCAGGAGCTCGAGAAACTGGCCACAGAAGCTTCTAGAATGGGTGACAAGGGCCCCTGGTGACGGGCCCTAAGAGGAGGGGATTGGTCTGAAGGCCCAGGGACCAGGCCAAGCGGACAGGCCAGCCTCACACAGAACAGTCTGGGCTTTCCTGCACCCCTGCGGGCCTTTTCTCCCCAGCACCTTCAAAAGCAACCCTGCGGAGGGGGCTGCGTGCACCCCGCCCTGTTTCCTGCCTCTCGGGACCAAACCCAGGCCCTAGTCTTCCCGCCCATCTCTGCCTCTCCCCTCCCCGCCAGGGCCCCCAGCTCCTCACACCCACTGGGGCCCAGGGCCCGTGGACCTGGGATTTCCCGGGGCTGCTAAGCTTCCAGGGAGCCAGGGACTCTGCCGGCCACTTCCAGCAACGACAGTTGCCCTTGGTGTCTGTGAGAGGATGCCAACTCCAGCCTCAGATGGTCCATTGGCCCGTCTCCTCCCCTGGGACCTCATGGACATGCCTCACTCTTCAGCTTTAAGTCCCGTTACGTCTTACCCTGAAGGGACTCTCATGTCAGCCAAAGGCCTGTTTGTCCCCGTGGACACTCAACCCGCTAGAGTCCACGCTGAGATTTGTGGTTTTAAAAAACAAGACCTCCCCACTAAAGAAGGTCACCTCTCCTGTCGTCTGAGGAGCAAACGCTGACCGACCTGTGTCCAGTGGCACCAGCTGGCTCCCGTGGGCAGCAGACGGACGGCTGGAGGTGACTGTTTCGCTGGGGCCCTGCACCCATGCCCCTTATGGAAGGGCACCCTCCTGATCCCGCTTGCAGGCTTATTGCTACTGCGTGTCACGGGGACGGGCGAGTGCAGGTTTATCACAGTTTCCCTGCAGATGGCAGCAAAGTGTCTTAAGAGGTTGCACACGTTTTGTTCGGCTTTTACTCATCAACGCCAACAACAGACCCGCGGTCTCCAAAAGAGTTTCTGCTTGTGAACAAGAAACTGCTTTTCGAAGGGATGTGCTGGTAGGTGAGGATTTCAAAAATAATTTTTTAAAATCCCCTCTCCATCGCTCTACATATGCACAAATAATCCACAAAATAAATTATATGCACATAAGTCAGAAATTCCCCTTCTAATGATCTGGAAATTACATAACAGCAATTGGTCATTGTTACAGATATCTTTTTAGTAAGAATATTAACACGTAATATTTAGCAGCTAGTTAATTATATATTTTGTATGTTACATACATGTAGGTTCTAAAATAAAATGCTAATTTTTTTGCTCAGCTATTATGAAAGAATTTTTAAAATTAATTTCAAAATCAGAACACAGAAGAAAATGAAAATGAATGCTTCCCCCCCCCCTTTTTTTTTTTGAGAATGAGGGCAGCAAAGACTGCTGGACTAGGATGGGAATTTACCATCAATATTTATGCCAAACATGACTGGTTAATTTTGAGAAAAAGTGGAAGAGAAAATAAACACATTAAACTGGATATATCCAGGTACCTGGCTATATAATTTGAATATTGAAGAATTTGAATATTAATAACACTCTCGTTGACATTTGTCTGTTTTATATAACAAATTTAACTATCATCAAATTTAATCAAATTTAACACCCTCCATATAGGTAGAAAATTTTCAGAAATTATTCATTCGTAAATTCTTACTAATGATCAAAAACCCCAAATTTATGTGCCTTCGTTATTTCTGTGCTTTATCTATGTGGCAAATTCCTCGGGGATGAAAAATAAACTGAAGAATGAAACTGTGAGCAAAAATTGGCAGCATGTGTCACATTACTAATAAAAAGAAGGCACATGCGCTTTAACCGTAGTGTTAAAAAGTCGAAGTTGAATTTGGGAATGTTCACTGGGAGAGATGCAGGTGGCAAAGACGCTGTGAAGAGAAGCCACATTGGAGCACGTGCTCTGCACGTTCAGCGTTTGGCAAGGCCGCGTGGAAGGGGAGGATTTATCCAAAGAACTGAGTCCAGTGATGAGAATTGTCTTCCTTTGGTGGAGATTACACAAAATTGGGTTACATAATGGCACATCAACTAACAGATAATATTACACATTGTAAGGCATGAAATGTAAAATCAAATGGAGTTATAGCAGGTACAATGCATAACCTGCTTTTGAAAAAGATAAGAAATGCAAATATTTGATTATTTTAGATACAACTCCTGGCATAAGCCATTGGGGAGTTATTAGATTGGTGGATTTCCAAAAGAGTAAACATTTCAGATGTGACCCTTTGGACAAACGGGGTTGTCCAGTCAACAGCAAAACAAAAGAAAGGGTGTGTGTATCTTCAGAAGACTACTTACAAAAACCGAATCTAAAGAAAAATTGGATGGAGCAATACCACAGGTACGTGTAGAGAACACAATGGATTGCCACAGAGCCTCAAAAAAGATTCCAGGGCATTCTATATTTTTTGTTGTGCGTTTTCTTTACGTTCGGTATTGAACCAGGCAGCAAACATCTATTTTGCCAGTACTTTTATATCATCTAAGAAATTATATAACTACTCTTTTTGCGTTAGCCGAGTGGTGGAGTATATTGAGAATGCATTTATGGAACAGAAAATTTAAGATCACTGTTGAATCTGAGATGGGGAGATTGAGTAGATGCCATCTTGCTACTGAGACGTCATTAGAGGGGGTCTGCCTTGCCTGCTGCTGATGTGAACACAAACATAGGTTCTAAAGCACAAGCCAAGAGCATGCAAGCCTTTGAAACATTCTCTTTCAGAGGCACTGCTCAGGGGGCCAGGGAGCCCATCTTGTGGTTGAGGCCTCACTCTTCTTAGGGGGTCCTTTACAGCTGAGCTATCCCTCCAGAATCTCAGCGGCCACCTGTGGAAGCAGGGCCAGCCCTTTTCACCCTTCCTACCAGCCTCCAGGGGGCTTGATCTGTACATCCTTGCTATGAGACTTCTCTTCAGCTAGTCTTCAGCTGCTTATTCAGGTTAGTTGCTCTATTTTCTGCTTGCAATTCCAGTTTGTATCTAAGAGGCAATGAGTGCAGCTTATACCTACTCCACTGCCATCTTTGATCTCTTCATTTGATTTCTGAGTTTTAGGGTGTTTTTTTTTTTTTTTAATCTGTAAAATAAGAATATTGGGCAAGATGATCTCTAGGGTTCCTTCTACCTCTAAAATTCTCCACTTTACTGTTTTAAGACGAGGAAATGCTGGCAGCGGCATGCAGCCTTGGTACTTACCTGAGTTCTGGCTAGGGAAGAATTCAGAGCCAAGACTCCAACTATAAGTGAACATTTGTTTATAAAATCACGGAGGTGGAATAAGTAATTCAAAGAGGGAATGGACTGAGGACACAAGTTATAAAGGCAAAGGAAGAGCCCTTGGAGCTTAAAAGTGAGGGAGGTAGAGGTGGCACCTCTGGGGGGTGGGGAGGGGAGGGAGGAAGGGGGGGGAATGCACTGCTCAGAACTCATTTGGAATGAAGGTAAAATGAGCATGATAAGCAAAATTAGATGGGAACCAGAAGTCAGTATATTATTCCCTTGACAGCCTGTAATGGGCTAAAGAAACCTTTCAAGAAAAATGAATTTATGACCACTACAAAAGGATGTTATTGCTGATACACAGGTCACAGTAACTTGACATTGACTCCAACTCTCCCAATGTGAAAATGCCAGCGAGGGGAGGGAGATCCGTTTCAGATGTTATTTCCGCAGACAGTCCACTTATCCAAAATCTGTTTCTCTTTCTTCTCTATTATCTTTAAAGGAGCAGTTGGCATTGCTGAAAGACATCATGGCCTTCCCAGCAGCCTCGATCGGTATTTCTCAAGTTTCCACGTGTGAACAGAGCACCTAGGGATCTCAGGAAAACGCACACTCTGACTCAGTCATGGCGAGGTGAGGTCTGAGAAGGTGCCTTCCCCACAAGCTCCTGGTGGTGCCGGATGCCGGGTCCTCGGAGGCGCACAGATCCAGAGAGCTCATTACCATCAAAACGGGTAAAAATGGTCCATGGGGCCTTTGGATGAACATGGCGCCGAAAGCGAAGAAGGAAGCCCTGCCCCTCTCAAAGCCGAAGCCAAAGCAAAGGCTTTGAAGGCAAAGAGAGCCGAGCTGAAAGGCGTCCACAGCCACACAAAAAAGAAGATCCGCAGTCACCCATCTTCCGAGGCCAAAGACTAAGGCTCCGAAGGCAGCCAGGTATCCCCGGAAGAGCTGCGCGCCGGAGAAACAGGCCTGCCCACTGTGCCATCATCACCTTCCCCCTGACCACCGCGTCCACCATGGCGAAGAGAGATGACAATCACACACGTGTGTTCCCTGTGGGTGTCAAGGCCAAGGAGCACCAGGGCCAACAGGCGGTGAGGAAGCTCTATGACACTGCGGCGGCCAAGGTCGGCACCCTGATCAGGCCGGATGGCGAGAAGAAGGCGTGTTTGGCTCCTGGCTAAGATGCTTTGGATGTTGCCTACAAGATTGGCACCATCTATCCAACTGGCTAATTTTACAGATAAAAGTTTACACTGGAAAAAAATACAATTGAAATCAAAGAACGTTATGCCTCATTCATCAATGTGTAAAGAACTACAACCTAAAGTTGTCTTTGTACAATCTAGTGTTCGCTCACCAACATGTTGCAATATGTCTATGACAATAATGTACCAGATCCATTTTCAAACTATTTTGAAACTTCCAAGGTACAATTAATCTAATACCATGGTCAGTGAAGAATGTGGCCTCTCAAAATTAAATATGTTAAAACCAACGCAAAGTCCTTAACACCATAAGAAAGATGACCAATCGGGTGATCCTTTCTACAACATATGAGCTATTTTTTTTAAAAAAGTAAGCCTTAAAACTATCAAAAGAATTATTTCTACCAAGAAAAGACATGTATCTATCTTACAACAAATTATTAGGCCCCAGTGACTCAAGTTCCTAATATTATAATGAAACATTTGAATTTTCCATTATTGTTTATTCAATCATTTATTTGTATAATTTATACACAATTCCTTTTCCCTAGTATTTGTTATTATTGAGAAATAAGTAACATAACTTCTGTGTTAACTTGAGGGAGGGGTGGCTTTTTCAAATTTGTATAAAATGCCACATGGGCTGGTGGTAGCCTTGGTTTGGGTAGTGTCCTTAATAGAGAATAAAATGACCTATGGAACCTATTTGCCTATTTTCAGGGCTCTGATAGCCTGAAGTTCCTGTCTCGTGTGATGAGAAGGATCAAAGTACAATCTGACCCCAAATATTAGTAGATGGTTATGAGGATACCCACGGTGCTGAGGGAAACAGGATTCTTGGCCATGCTTCTCTCTCCGAGATGCCCAGGCAAACAACCGCCAAGACCTCACGGGAAAAATAGAAATTATGGATCTGCCTGGCATGGAGCCCTAGAACCGAAAGCTCATCCAGGGCCCATGGCAGCTCCAGCGATCGAGTCCTGCATTTCTTCCTCAGCAGTCCGCACCTAGCCATTCAAGTGGCTCATCCTTTCCCCCTCTTCCTCTTTCCCCTCTGTTCTGCCTTCGCTATTTTCTCTGGGTAGATCAATTCAAAGGAGAGAATTTGCCCTGGCTGGATAACTCTGTTGGTTGGAGCATCGTCCTGATACGCCAAGGTTGTGGGTTCGATCCCCGGTCAGGGCACATGCAAGAATCAACCAATGAAAGCATAAATCAATGGTGCAGTAGGTCAATGTCTCTCTCTCTCTCTCTCTCTCTCTCTCTCTCTGGAGTGATGTGGTTACTGATGGTCCTCCTAGACCAACTCCTCACTGGACCCCCGACTTGTGTTTGTGGCAGCCTCTCTAAGCAGGGGGCAGCGGTGAGGAACCCCTTACTTTCAGAATGGGGGGAGGGCTTTATGGGCTGAGGTGTAGTGAACCTTTTGAAAATAGTCCTTTTCTTTTAAAAAACACCCTTGATGGAAATTTTCTTTCTAAACAGCATTTATTTTCCTGGCTATAAAAGTAACACCTGTTTGTTTTTACAAAATATAGACAAAGATAAAAACAAAATGATCACTGTTCATTTTAACGTATTTTCTTCCCGTTAAATATGTATGTGTATGCATACTCACATGCACAGATAAAACATATATAAAAGATTTGGGATTAGACAACATTTCTTTTTTCATTTATGTTGTGTGAGACTTTTTCCTAGGTCATTAAAAAAAAAAATCTCCCCTTCCCATTTGACCACCACATTTTCTCCTAATAGATTTTAGTGGCTATGCTTATGGGATAGATTAAAATTGCCATGATCTGAAGAGGGAGGATTTATTTGTGTCCTCCTCCTATATGAAATGGCTGAACAGAAAGAAAATAAAATCTCCCCAAACTCCCTTGCTAATGGCTCCGCTCCCCCCCCCCTCTCCCCTGGCCCCACATCCAACAGTAGGTGGGCCATTATCAGCCGCCTCACTAGCGTGGACAGATGTGCATTTTAACCAGACTGCAGCGGTATGGAAATGTTGGAAGGGGGCGCTGTGTGCTGTGCTTTGGGGGTTCTCACCCCAAGGCTGGTCTGAAGCCAGATACCTGGCTCTGTCTTCAGGTCGCCTCGGGCAGCCCCGGCTCCATCTGCAGGAACAGAAGCTCCCAGAGCTGGGACACCAGCCGGGGGATTCATTGCCCATGTTTGTGGGAAGGAGCTGGGGGTAGAGGGTTACAGGATTAGAGAGCTAAGCTGAGGGCCGCACCTGCAGGCAGTCCTGCGCCCTGAATTTACAGCGGGAGCCCGGGCGTCGTATAAATGAGTAATGCTTCCTGGAGCTCTCCTCTAAGCGAGCTGCACAAATTGGCAGGGGCCCTTCGGAATGCTGTCGATGCGTGTGGAATTCCAATAATTTGATGCCGAGCTGCAATGACAATGGGGAGCAAGGCATTACCTTGAGAGGACGTTTGCAGAGCCAGCTGCGGCAGCCAGTGCTCATGGAAAGTGTGGCCTAACCACCGTTCTCCCGGAAATCTCTCATATCTCGCTGCTGTCGCCCTGATCAAGGGCATTAAATTAAAAAGTAATGGAGCTACTAATTCTTTGTGTGTGTGTGTGTGTGTGTGTGTGTGTGTTTCCTCTCGTCCAGGCAGTGAGGAATGGGGAAAGTGAAATAAAAACCTTGACTGAAACGGATATGTCTCTTTAAAAAAAAGGATGCTGGCATTAGACACAGCTCAGGAGAGCGCGTCTGAATATCGGGCGGCTTTGCAACGTGGAGCATCGCTTGCTTCTGCTCCTTTTCAATGTGTTTTGGCCGAAACCGGTTTGGCTCAGTGGATAGAGCGTCGGCCTGCGGACTGAAAGGTCCCAGGTTCGATTCCGGTCAAGGGCATGTTCCTGGGTTGCGGACACATCCCCAGTGGGGAGTGTGCAGGAGGCAGCTGATCGATGTTTCTCTCTCGTCGATGTTTCTGGCTTTCTATCTCTCTCCCTTCCTCTCTGTAAAAAATTAATAAAATATTAAAAAAAAAATAAATGTGTTTTGGTTGGCTGCACACGTTACCTGTTTCCCAGGCATCATAGCCGGGAGGAGTCCGCCGGTCATAGCAGGAGGTCTGGTGAGCTGGGTCCTCTTATCTTTCCAATCACAAGGCGATTTGCTTGCGCTGGCTGTCATTCCGTGAGGGAACAGACGAGCGGGCTCAGACTTTACTTGTCCACGTAGAGTGCTCGCACTATCTCTGGTTGGTAGAGTGTTTAGCTTTTCTGAAGCCCTTTATGAAGAATACGTCTTGTTAGCCACAGCACAGCGTTCTGGGGAACCCTGGGCAGGGCCTGTGGGCTACTGGTCATGACTGCAGGTTTGCTAGTGTGGCTTCTTTCTTGGGATCCCCTTCTCTGCAGCTAGGAAAGGGAAGTGTTGGTCTTTCCCTCGAGGTCCCAATTCTCTGAGTCTATGATCTCGCTTGATAATGTGTACTATAGCAGCATTGGCTAACTTCCCAAGTATCTTGATGCCACATTTCCTATAAAAATCACTCACCTTTAAGGTGAGTTTGGCCAATTTAACATTTTGACTCGTTCTTAATCTAGGGATTCGTTCTCCGAGTGGGAACATGTAAATAATAATTGCCACCGTTTACATAGCACTTACTATGTGACACGTGCTGTTCTAATGCGTTATTTATTTTCACAATAACCCTGTGAAGCAGGTAGGCAGAAATGATTCCAATTTTACAACTTTAAGAAATGAGTTCAAATGTATTTTGTTTCTGCTACAGAAATACATTGGAAAGGCAGTCAAAAAGGGATAATGGTTAAATAAAAATTCATCAATAATACATCCCCAAATCCAGCTTTTCTCCTGGATTCATGAATTTAGGGTCAAACGAAGACATTAAGCCAATGTCCAAGGAGCAAAGATAAATTCAGTGGTGGTATTGGTTTGTTTTCATGGAAACTATCCAGGAATGTGGTCACGGGTTCACACCGAGTTGTTCTGATCGACTTATACAGGTCTCCGGCTGCAGAGTTAGTATTACACTAGCCGACATTTAGACCACAATTCCTTCCTCTCTAGCAAGTGCTTCCTTTGCAGCTATTGGACCTGGGGCCGAGCCATAGGTGTGCCGGGAACCCGCGTGTGCTTACAGTTGGGTCTGTATTACCAGTTACAGCTGGGTCTGTATTATCAACACCTGCCACCAGCAGCTCCCTCTCATTGCTGCAGCACCCTATTCTGCCTGTGCCGGGATAAGGACATAACTAGGAAGCATTAGAAAAGAATTTATTGTTTCTTTGCTACTTGCTCTTTCTGGGAATGAGAATTCAACCAAAACGTCTGTTTTAGGTCAAGGTCAGGAATTCCCCCTAGAACAAAAAAAGAGAATATCATTTATAAACCAGAATAGCCACACAGAATAAGCTAGAGTTATGCCTATTCCAAGAAAATAAAATCGTATTTCATTAATCCCTCCCTCCCTCCTTGGCACATTCCCTCCCTCACTCTATCCGCCCTGCCTCCCTGCCAAACAAGGTAAACTCTACTTCCTGTATCCAAAACTATTTTTTTTAAAAAACAGGAGAGTATAGCACTGGGGATCTCCCCTCTGGCATTTATTGCCACCATCTTGAGTTACCACTAGAGCATGATGGTCCAGAAGAGATGCCAGGGGCGCCCACTCAGTTGTGCCTCCTTCATTCACATTAGGGGATGAGGTTCTTGGCCTTGCGAGTCTAGACCTATGATCCTATCTGTGCCCTGGAGGTGATGGGGTAGGGCAGGGGTGGGCAACCCCTGGCACGCGTGCCAAACATGGCACGCCAGTAACTTTTGCTGGCACATGAAACCCTCTCTTATAATCTTCCATTTACAATTGTGAATCTTTGTTCTCAGTGATGAATTTTGTTAAGCCTCGTAATAGGAGTAGCCTGACGGATGAAAGTAGTAGCTCGTGCATATCTCTGAAGGTCACGAAATATAAACCTGATGTAAAATCTCTGTCATCAGTGATGCAGCAGCAAAGGTCCCACTGATAATATCAAACAGAGTCATAAAGCTTTCTGTCGGACTACCAGTGTACATGTATACATTAAAAATAAATGTATTTTTCATCATCATATACTGTGTTTTTGTCACTCGAATGAATTTTATTATTTCTTCAAGGTTCTTCACATACGTACACCTTAAGAGATATCAAGTAGGCGTAACATGTTCTCAAAAAATCAGGGTTGGCACGCAGAAGAGATTTTGCTGGTTTTGGCACACACTCACACAAAGGTTGCCCACCCCTGGGATAGGGGGTGGGGGTGACTCATACTAACCAAACTCATGCGAGATTCAACCATAATCCACAATGTAATTTTGACATCTGAACATGAAA